CACTTCTCCTTTACCGAGATAATCCATCCCACCTCACAGGTGTGGCATATCAAGATGCTGATTAGACAGCATGATTATTGCACAGGTGTGCCTTAGGCTGGCCACAATAAAAGGCCACTCTGAAACGTGCAGTTTTGCTTTATTGGGGGGGTCTGGGGTGGTCTGAAAACCAGTCAGTATTTGGTGTGACCACCATATTTGCCTCACGCAGTGCAACACATCTCCTTTGCATAGAGTTGATCAGGTTGTTGATTGTGGCCTGTGGAATGTTGGTCCACTCCTCTTCAATGGATGTGCGGAGTAGCTGGGTATTGGCAGGAACTGGAACACGCTGTCGTATACGCCGATCCAGAGCATCCCAAACATGCTCAATGGGTGACATGTTAGGGTTAGGGGCACGTTTCAGAGTGGCCTTTTATTGTGGCCAGCCTAAGGCACACCTGTGCAATAATCATACTGTCTAATCAGCATCTTGATATGCCACACCTGTGAGGTGGGATGGATTATCTCGGCAAAGGAGAAGTGCTCACTATCACAGATATTTTCAGATTTGTGAACAATATTTGAGAGAAATGGTTATTTTGTGTATATAGAAAATGTTTTAGATCTTTGAGTTCATCTCATGAAAAATGGGAGCAAAAACAAAAGTGTTGCATTTATATTTTTGTTCAGTGTAGTTATGATATGAGTCAGGATGACACATTTAAGATAAAGCACAGTATTTATTGACAATTGGCAGCAACAATTAGAACAGTTAGAACATCATTGTTTCTGTGGCTTTGGTGGGATTTAGAGACATTTTAAGATCTGCACACTTGTATTTTATAGATTGCTTAAACTATCTTTTAAAACTCATTATGTGCATAGTTTTAGTTATAAGTGCACTCCTAAATGATTGTTCATATATGTACTCGACAATAAGTAGTGCTGATGACAGCAATCAGCTGATAAGCATCTCACTTTACTGAGATAAGCAGCTGTTAGAGGTCTATACATTTTACTGTTGATTATTGGTATTAAAGTTCAAGGCTATGTGTTAACCTTCAAAAACATCTTAATATGCTTGAACACAGTGAGGACATGCAGAGAGTGGATTGAGGGCCCGTTTAAATGTTAATTTAAGTGTGTATCATTGTAGTTTGGTAGATTTTTTAAAAGACTTATATTTCATGAGCTGTTTGATTCAGTTGCAGTCAGAGTGAGACATTGAGAGTACTGCCAGCTGGATTAGGAAAAACACAAAGGACTCTCCTTCCCCTTCTCTGTAATTTCAGATGTAATCTCTTTGGACTAACATCAGAACTGACGTGATCGAATGACAGATTTTTTACAGTGCACTGGCATGCTCCCAAATCCTATAATTTGGCCTTTTATCACAGACCCTTCAGTCAGTGTAGCATAGACCGATAAGATATATGCTAAACGATAGCTTGCAGCAGCTCCCAACAATGAATGTCAGTTGTAATTTAGTTAATGTTGCATGTGAACTGTGAGCCTAGGGTAAAGAAGTATAGAAAAACCCCTCCAGTTATTTTTCAGTCACAAATATACAACTTTCCATTATCGCTCTGGAGTCCAGCTGTTTCATTAAAATGTGTGTTTATGTCACAAAGGAAATAATAAAATGACATTTAACACATTTCTAGACTGACGACGTTGTTAAAAGTTTTGCAATTCCTTATTATATAGTTGAACAAATACTTTAAATGTATTTTTCGCACACAGCAAACCATTTCCGTATGCTTGGCACATTGAGCCTGCATGCTGCATATGGTGCTTTTGTTCTGTTAAAATACTGCCCAAAAGCTCGACTGCAAAATGCTGTATGCGTAATGGAGAAAATGACAGAAATAGAAAGTTATCACATGACTGAAAAGTAATAACTCTCCTGAAAAAATCCTTGGGTGTTTTGCTTTCCAAAGCTTGCTGTAGGGTTGCCAGTCGTCCATGACTTACATATTGCAGAAATATCTGAATGGACTGGAAATGTGACTTAAGCAGGTCAGTTATAATAACTATCACAGATGTGCAATGAGGATAACATAACGTGATGCTTTAATGCCAGATGAAGCTATAATTATCATTACCCAATATTTTGTGATAATGTTAGCATGCTAACATTTTGATTGTTCACATTTTAAATGTTATGCCAGCTAAGAATTGCTAAGCATTGTCAACATGTTAAAGTTAGCATAAAGAATAGCAGCGTTAGCATGGTAGTTGTGTGTTCCATAAACAACCTATCTTCTATCTAATTTTGAGAGAAAAAAAGTTGTAGGTGCCAATAAATAGTATGTAAAATGTTGCAGAATGCTAGCCAGCATGCTTCTAGGGTTATTATGACCCACAATCCTCTGAGCAGCGCAAGATAGGTCACAACTAGAGAGCACAGACAGATAACAGCCTGTCGACAGCTTATTGAAATGTCACGCTCCTGACTGCTACAGAATTATGAGCAATTAGAGGGTCAAAGTTCAAGGCGCAATGTTATGAATGGCTGCTGCAGTTTGTCAGAAAGTAAAATTAAATATTTAAGAGGTAGTAGTTAGTTAGTTAGTTAGCTAGTTAGTTAGTTAGTTAGTTAGTTAAACAGCCAATGTCTTCTTTGAAATTGTAGCTGATGGAAAAGAGAAACAATATAAACTGTGTTTTTAACCCATCATGCTTTGTGATTAACTATTATCAAAGTCAAAGTCAACTTTATTGTCAATCTTTCAATTTATGTGTACAGACAGAGAGATCGAAAAACCGTTTCCCACAATCCCGACACATTTAAACATATGCACACATTACGACCTAAATAAAAGCACAACAATCAAAAACATCAATGAATATTATCACTAACCTTCCAGATTTAGCCTTTCTGATGGTGCCTCCAAAAATGTTTCTGATTACACATGCAGGTTGAGGAGAAGCAGTAAATAACTATACAAGCAGACGTTTTACAGCCTCACCTGAGCTCTATAGTAAAGGGTCGATCCACCTGGATGGTCCACTCACACCGGGCATTGTTAGGGTAGCTCTCAAGCACCAAGTGGCCCTGCCTCTTACGGATTACTCCCCCACACTCTGAAAAAAACATCGGAAAATATAATATTTTGGAAAGTTGGCACTCTTTAAAATTCAGTGCTGGTTCATTACAGCTTGATTGTTATGTTGCGGGTTTAGATTCAGCTGCTTTGGTTACCATTCAAACCAAACCCAATTACATTGAGTTTGCGAAGCTACTGAAAGCCCTATGTTTTGCTAAACAACACAAAGAAACATAAACACAATACACACAGGGGCAACAAGGCATTCAGCAGTCTTTCCAGGTTCTGCTTTTAATTAACCGTATTTTTGTTGTGCCCCATGGCAGTTTATTGGCGCACTAAGAAAGCTATAGTCACTGTCCAAATGTTACATATTAAAGAGTTTTATGAGCTTCTCAATTGTTGACTCTGACTTGTCATTCAGCTCCTAACGGAAAACGCCCAGGGCATATGGCAGCCTTCCAAGCTGGCATAGTTGTCCCAGATGAGGATAAATCACCAGGGAAGGAAAGAACACTTTTCCCTGATCGAAAGAAAAATGTAGACTAGAGTCTATTTGGGAGAATGAAGGTACGTACTCATGCAATCTCCACCGGACCAGCCAGGTCGACACTCAGCGCAGTATTTCCCAGTAATGAAGAAGTCATCCCTGGGGCCCCATGTCCCATTGTTACAACGCTTGCAGTTCTCAAATATACTGCAACCTGAAAGGAAGAGAAACCAAGTTATAGGGGTGTTTTTAAAAAGACAGGTGGATGGACAAAGAGGAGAAGGAGACAAACAATTTACGTCTTTTAAATTGGCTCGTAATATTTGTTACAATTGAGAACATGTTCATCATACCCCTGCCATGTTTCCTCTAAAACAGCTCTGCTAAACTCATTACGCACATATTTTACTGCAACAGAATACACAAGCGTATAAGAGCTTCATAAAATAAAAATTTGAAGAAAACTGGGAGGATGTCATTTCACTTAAAGGTGACCTATCATGCAAAATGCACTTTTGTAAGTCTTTTATACATGAATATGTGTCCCCGGTGTTCCAGGGAACTCACCAAGTGTCAGAAAACACAACCCTCTCTATTTTCCTCCATACCCAAATCTCTTAAAAAGGGGCTGCAACTGATCTGATACAGACTGATCCAGATTTGAACACTTCTATGACGTCACATAAGTGGCACTATGGCTATTGGGCCAACTCCACCAATCAGGAGGAGACAGCCACGGACATTGCCGTTCGAAAGCGCTGGAGACGCTGTAGTACATATGCCAGGCCTGTAGATGGTGCTGTTCTCACATAATCAGCTCATGCAATGCACTGTTAAATTGAGCGAAATGCGGAATGGCTAAAATGCATGATCTGTTTGGTATTTTGAAAAATAAAAAGTATAAATATGCCTTATATAGGTATGGTCCTACACTGTATTATTCAAATATAGCATGATAGGTCCACTTTAAGAGACTACTCAGTCCATGAGGGGGAAACAAAACTGACCTGATTGCAGATATGCATTTTAACCAAATATGCACTAGTGATGTGCTCAGGGCTTGACACATTTTTTGTGTTCAACAGTAAAATGTGAAGAAAACAGATAAGATAAGATTTAGGGAAAATAACATGCAAGCGAGGGTTTGGATGGGTGAGCAACTGCTCATTTGTGCACACATACCCAATCATTTTCTCAGGTATATTCACAGATGTATTTGTTGCATAACCAATAACATATTTTTCCAGAAGTCCAAAGCATGACCATTCATTCCTGGCTCTGAATTCTTCCAGAAAATGAATAAGCCAATATAAAGTAAGCCTTAAAATAAATGAGATCAGTTAAATATTTTTTAGCTTTTCTCTTATATAGTTTCTAATGCTTCAGTGTAAACAGCAGTGCAGTTGATAGACATCCTTTAGTCTTGCACAAACTTCACTGCAGATTTTCAAAGATGGAGATTGATGGGCGGATTACAATCAGCAGATGTGGACTATATGAAGAGAATGCCAACTTTTTATACTGTTCAAGTTTATGAAGTTCATAACTTCTCATACAATTAAAACAAATAGGAATATTGGCAGGGGTTCTACCTGGATGAATTATGCAGGGGTCACACTCATTGATGGCGTTGCGACAGCACGGCACTGCGTAGCCCACCGGGGTCCCCTGTATGGGGCATTTACAGCGGATCACATCGTACTCGCAGCAGCCTCTGCACATGACGTTCCACTCTGGGCCCGGGCAATGGTTGTACAAATACCTGTAATCTAAAGAAGACAATACGTCAGCATTAGTCAAATCAGCAGGATAACTCAAACATGCAACCAGGAAGCATACCTTTACATTAGCATCTATTCATAATTGTACAGGCATAGAGAGGCAGCGGTGTACATCATGGAGAAACTTTGACAAATATAATGACATGGGTTATGATCAGGAGTGGAAGGATTCTGAGGATTTCAGTGTTTGATTGAGTTGTTTTCTCGGCTGGTTCTCTGGTTGTTTCCACTGCCATATGGTTGTATTGGGGAATCGTAAGACTCAAAGTAGTTCACGTCCACTGAGTGATTTCATAAAACATTACATCAGACAACATGCCTCAATGGTAAAGTCATCCTCATGAAGAACAGTCAACAATGACCAAGTTATTCCTCCCTTTTCCAATACATACGATTTTTAATTGGACTGTAAACCAGTAATGCAAGTAGTTATAATGATGTAACAGTGGATTTAAAAGTTGAAGTATTTGAACATGTCTTGTGGCAGATGGGGATAGAGAACTAACAGAAGCTGCACTTTAAACTTGGCACCACCTTGGTGCAGCCTTGTACGTACCCTCCTACCGGCCCTGCAAACACTCATTAGTGGTTGTTTGCAGACGGCAAACTGGAAAGGAGAAGCGCAGATGTCTTGGAGAGCTGTGAGTCGTCCCTGTTGCCAGTCCACATTAATGATATCATAAATTGTACGTCTGTCCAGCTACAATCTGGCCTTCTCCTCAGCTATTTCTCCAAGCAGACACTGAGGTATGACAACTGCACTGACATCTATCAAACCAAAAGTGAGTGTGCAATGCCACAAGTTAAACTTTAATGTGAGTTTCTTTAAGGACAGAGTTAGTGCTTTATGAAGCTGATGCAGTCCTTTAGCTGTTTTACGATTCCTGTCAGTTCCTCGTTTAATTTACTGTTTTGATAACATGGGCTCAGCTGGACATGTGTGTAAACCTCAATATTCAGCAAGCTAGTCTGTTTTCTATGCGCCATGGTGTGCGATAGATTTCAGGACCATAAAAAAAATGTCACTTTTACACGTTCCAAAGAGCCCAGTCCATTACGCAATGCCTTTGTTGTCATACCAACTGACAGTTTTCCTGTGGTTAAAATGAATGTAAACTTAAAACCCTCACTTTGTCTTAAATTCAAAGCTGATGCTCTTGCGTTGTCTTGATTGGTTTAGCTCGGTTTGCCTCACTGGTACACAAAAGAAGGAGCTCATTGTTTTGTTTTTCTAGATTACTTTTAAAAAAGTTGAGAGAACCACAACTATCAATGGCATGGGAATGGTACCATGCTGTAAGTCAAATGTATAAACATGCATTATGGCAATGACACAGCAAGTAATAAAATATGTTTTACCACAATCGCATCCTCCTCACAATATTTCTGTAAAATGATTAATGAAAAACCAAAAAGTATAGCCAATGCTTCAACTTGTCTGGTAAATTCACTTCTTCTTAACTGCACCAACCTAGACTCAAACTTGTATTCTAAAATTGTAAGGAGTGACAAGTGGATGGAGATTCCTTTACATTTGGCGCTTTGGTCTAAAAGTAAAAGCAATAACAGATGATTTGGAATAAATATTTATTCAGGCTGCTAATGGCTCGAGTACAGAAGCCTGACTTGGAGTCCAGAAGTCCATCAAAACTCTGGTCTGCTTTTACTCACATGCATCGAAATGCAGACGGAAGCAGCTTCATTTTCAACAACTACGACTTGTTATGGTTGCAATGTGACCCAAATTACGTAAATCGGAAACTGAGAATTGTCAAACAAGAGAAGATTGATTAAAGCCATTATTGGCTGTGCTGGCCAATTTTTCTTTCTTGTCTTAAGCTACCTTACAAGTAATGAACAGGGGATGATTACAGAGTTTAAAAGGTGTGATGCCTTTCACATGGGGATTAAGAGGTTTGACACCTTTGCCTCTCCTTATGGGACAGCTTCTCCTGCTTTGGTCTGTGTGCTGGCCTGGGACTGTGAAAGCTGATTTATAGGACATAAACTCGAAAGGGTCAAAAGGCTTTATGAGCTGGCCTGTTAATGTCATCACTGCTGTGTGTCTTGTCCTTAGAGCTGTGACATCCTGTGGTTGGATCTGCCTTTGCAGCATACTTAGGGAATAGACAATGCAGTAGATCTTAATGTTTTTATTTATGTCTTTATGTTTATGGGACTAGATCTGTGACGTGACATTTATGAAATATTTAGTTTCCAGATTCTCTCAAGTTGTTCTCCTTATAAAACACTCTTTATTGAGATAAATAAACACGTTCAGCAGTGTTTTCAGTCTTTATTCACTGTAACAGATTCAGTTTGCTGACCTCCAGCTCTGTTGATAAGGCTGTTGTGTTTTTCTCTGGAGCATGACTCCAAGGTTTTTCCCCTCTAGTGCTTGATTCAGGCTGGAATGCATCTATTTTTCCAGAAGGTTATCCCCTCTCCTTAATAAGTGTTTACTGATTCTCAACACAGCAGATCGTTTTTACATAACTCTGCTTTCGCTTGCCCCCCTACAATTTGTATTCATACGTTTCAGCGATAAGCTTAGTGCCTCGTAAAAACACAAATGCGAAGGCTTCCAGGTCAACACCTGCAGGTAACTACAGACTGGACAGTAACAATTTCATGTGGGTTTTAACAGGAAGAAAGGTCTGACCAGGTGTGGAAGTGCACGTGCTCAGGGGCAAGCAGACAAGCCAGTAGGTGCAACCATTAATACATGCATGAGCTGTCCTTCAGTGTTTGGGCTTAAGGCCTATCAAGCCTTTATTATTTGAAAACGTGTTAAATAATGGCATCAACATAACTCCGTTTATCATTATGTTCCCCGGGCCTGTAATTTAACCCAGGACTGTGGTTGTGCTGTGTGCCCCCAGCTAATGTGTATTTAATCACAAACTGGAAGTGTTGACAAGTTTCAGAGAGGTGCTGTAGAAATCCATCCGATTACAAAGTTTGCTTCCTTATTGTGCCTTGTGGCTTTATAGCATATCTAAGTGTTTTGGTATTATGTAAACGTGCTAGTTTTGTGAGATCACACAGTAGCTATGCACAAATGACAATAAAAGCCTTGAATCCTTGTTTTTCCCTCAGGCGTGCAGCTGAGTCTGCACATTTTTGTGTGGGTTGTTTGACTTTTCTGTTATGTAAGAATTGTATTGTGTTGGCTCTTGTGTATTCTTAAACATGCATGTAAAAAAGCCTTCGTAATGAAAACAGCCGAAACACGAGAATCATAACAGACACCCCGTTGACTAGTGGAAAACTCAGTGTGTCACAAAGCACTCCCACACAATCAGAAGCTCTACAGGCCCAGGTTGTAAGCCATCATGTCTCAGCTGCTAAACTTTGATGTGGATCCAGACGATGACATCATTATTACCGGGGGCGGGGATGTGGTCACGGAAATGTGCGCAAATAATGTGACCCTGCGTCTGACTTTACTGCCCTGCTGGCCCAGTAACCTGTTAGGAGCCAAAGGAAACCCTGACTTCTGCCAACAACAAACTAAAATGTCCACATTCCTGATCTTTTTTTTTTTTACCATAAAAGGTTTTATGTTGAAATATAAAGCTCACAGATGCACATAATGTTGCACAACCCCTGAAAAAGCAGCATTACTGACTATTTGATACACTCAAAATATGCTGCAGGTGCTGAATTTGACCTTACAACTGACACAAAGGCCTGCATCAGCTCGGAAATAGTGCCATCATTTCCTGGAAGCAACTTCCCCTGTACTCAGCTAATAATAAAACCCAAGGTCAGTATTTGCTGTAATTTTACATCAGCATCGACTTTGGCCCAGCTCACATTCACAGCCAAGTGCTGCCTCCCGAGTTTAAGATATCTTATAATTGAGATTTAGCTTGATATAAAAACTGCTTTCTGTCAGTTACCGTTTAAATTAGTAATCGTCTCTAGGTTCTCTTTTTCTTGCTCAGAAAATGTATCTTATCAGTCTGAGTCTCGTCTTGCTACACACCACTATCAGCTAAGCTATGTTTAGCTTTAACAAGGCTGAAGAGGACAATGTGGAAATGGTTTGAGCAGGGCACTTTAAAATCGGTTCAACATGCTTATTAAACGCTGCACAATGCTGTGACTGTGTCACCTACAGTATGTTGGACATGTAGTATTCTGCTATTTCACTTTTGGAAAGTATGCTTATTAGCTTCCTTGGTAAATAAGAGGAGAGATTGATACTATTTTCTTAGGTGTGTCTATTTCGTAATCTACAAGAAGCTTTATACTTGCCATCAGCAGAAAATATACTTAACGTAGCAAAAAGACTTGAAACAGTGAAACAAATAGACTGGCTTTGAAGTGTGATACTGAAGGGATGAAACACCAATACATGGAAGATACATTTCTGCATTTCTATTTTATGATAGTTACTATTTCTTGCCTGGAAATAGGTGCATCCTTCTTTTTCCCAATTTCTTGGAGATTTCAGGGAGCTGAACTGTACACCTCAAAGAAATAATCCAGCATATACCATATTTACATTTCAGTTTTGTTGAAAATTAAACGCCTGATTAACATTTTCATGAAACCCTCACCTTCAAGCGCTACAAGGCGAGGGTTTCTTTTACATTTGGAGAGAGCCAGGTTCGCTGTATCCCTGTCTCCAGTCAATTGGAATTTAATCAAATATTCTTAATTTACATGAATTAAACTAAACTAATCTTAGTAAAAGTAGTAAATTACGAGAGTAGTATTAATCTTCTCATCGCAGTCTTGGCAAGAAAGAAAACATTTCATTTTTCCAAAATGCCTAACTATTGCTTTAATTTTATTCGGAAATAGAAGATAAAAATAACAAAAGATATGTCAGAAAAAGTTCCTTGTAAAGAGAAGATTTTACGGTATACATCCACTGAATACATTGTTTTCTTCTGACAATATGGTGGTTATCATACACTGATGTATCATGGAAGAATAGTTGTTTTTATAGCAGCTGCGAGTGCATGTGCTGTGCATGTGCTGTGCATGTATGTGCGAGTATATAATTCCTTTTGCTTACTGCCCACAGCAGCTGTCTGGCATTTTGAGGTTGCAGTGATTTTGCTATCATGGAACATCGGAAACTCCCAGGGGAGCTTTGTGGGCATTGCATATCCGAATGTAGCCCGATCCTAAGCACCGGTCCCATTGGTCATCCTATAGATTTGCTTTAAATAAACTTTCCTCCACTCGGAAACCACAAACCCAATGAAACATCCTCTCACCATTACCCACTTTGGTAAATTGGTGTGAACACACACACCAATATGTAGGACAAATAGGAGTCTGATATGTGCACATTTGTTTTCAGCATTCAACTTTTCAACTTGATATGAACTCTAGAGTCTGATATGAAACACTATTTTTCCAAACACTCGAGGCTATGTTTTTCTTCTTGTAACTATATTCTGTGCCAAGTTTTCATTTTCTCTCATTTTTATATTTGCTAGGCCTTGTCATTTTTCCCTACAACAGCCTGCCCAGTAGCCCTGACAACTATGCAATGAACTAAACACACTTTAGGGAAATGTGTGAAAAAAGCAGGACACCTCAGGATTCAGGTGGGTGGAGGAAAATGCCTCAGTACACATAAACACGGGCACACCTGAAAATACATGTTCAAAAGGCAGGGTTTGTATGTAAACACTTTAGCTTTGCTTAAAGAAAAAGAAACAAAGAAACATCTGTCATCAGCTGATAATGCAGGATTATGAAACAAGCCTTGCTAGAAAGTGACAACAACAACATAATTGTGCAAATCTGCCAGAGAAAACCTTCTTAGTCACTGTAACCTAACACAGATGTGTTCAGCCAAGCCCTTTGCCACATTCACCAACATTACAAATTGAAGGTTTTAATTTACTGCCTACTAAGCGTGCAACAAGGAATTAGACAAAGACAGAGGTTTGGTTAGGAGTCTTGGGGACGCTGTATGGTATACACATTACCACAGCCAGTGTGATTGACTCAAACGTGACTCATGTCTTCCTGCTGCAGTTGAAATGGTCAGCCTGGGTAAACAGGCAGGGATAATCTGAGTCTCAAGGAGAGCACACTTAAGGAGTTAAAGCAAAGCTCCCGTACAAAAGAGAACGATTGCCAAGATTCAACACCCCTATTAGAACGGCAACTGCCTCACTTTACCTCAAGGAATGTGTGGCTACATCCAACTGTGGCTTCTTTTATTTCAGAACACAAAAGCAATCTTGCTTTCATTTCAAACAACAATTAACCGCGATGAGTAGAAACGAGTATGGAAATGACAGAGACCCTTTTTTTCTTCTTCTGGTAATGGGACAATAAACAAACATACAACAGGACAAGAAAAATAGTTGTAAGGTCAAAGATTGCACAAACTTGTCAGTGCTGTTTTTCTTTGAAGCCCCTTTAAAAAGCTGGATTTCACATCACTGTCTCTCCGTTGGTCTTCTTTTACAATCCTGACTGAGAACTGATGTGCTCTTAAAGGCTAGAAGGGAAGACGGGATGGAGAGAGTTGCTGATGCCGGCTTTTTGAGAACAAAGAACACAAACTGAGAGGCCGTGCCAAATATAAACGCAGGGAGAAGAGAAGTGAAGGTAAAGCCGGTCTCTTACCGTAGGGCCACGCTGTCCCTTGGGGCAAGGAGATGGAGAGGAAGATGAGGAGGAACCAGCCCTCCTTCCAAGAGATAACGGTGCCGGTCCAGGGGGCAGTGCTGGTGCCCCCATGGGTTTGCCCCAGCTGCAGTCCCCGTCCTGCAGACAGCATGCTGCAGCCTGGAACTCTGTTTACTTTCTGAACTCAGCTGACATCACCTTCTCTTGGCCCTTCTGTCCTTCCCTCCCCCTCCCTCCCTTTATTTTTCTCTCGGTTTCTCTCTCTTACTTCTCTTTGGCTTCAGGTTACAGCCCAGCCTCGCAAGGAGTTCCACTTGCACTGGTCTCCCAAAAACTCCCCGAGCTCCACTCAGAGGAAGACGTCACTGCTCTTGAATAAATGCAGACCCAACCGTTTAATGCACAAATCATTATGGTTTCACACACGACACACAAACACACACACACGAGGGAAAAACACAACAGCCAGTTTATGTTCTACATTGGCAAGACCAATGATACAATTTAAGATGGTTCACTGCTTTTGTGTTCATGTCTAAACAATCTGGATGTCATTGTAATTCAAGTTCACACCAGCTGTGTTTTCCAGCAAGGTGTCTGGTAAAGCAATAGCATTCAGTCAATCCAAGGTAGTAAATCCAACAACACATTTGTAACGTTAAAGGAATATTATGTTATTTGGCGAAATATGCGTATTGTTTTCAACAAAGTCAGGTGAATAGGTTGATGTCACTCTGTAGGCTAAGTATAAATCTACAGTCAGTAGACCTTAACTTAGAATAAAGACTGTTAATGGGAGACCTGGCAGCACCTAGAAATCTCAACTATAAGCGCGATATATTATCTCTATTTTTTAATATGTCTGAAAAAAAATCAACATGTTGAGATTTTACTTATGGTTATATGGCAGACTATTTCTAGGATGGGGCTAAGTAAAGGTAAGCCTTTGGACAGAGAGAGACTGGCTGTTTTCCCTTTAAACAACAGAACAGGCTTAAACAATAGAATAGTAGCCAGTGAAAACACACTTTCCTGTTTGTATGATCTCCTGGGTGTGTTTTATTTCAGCTCTGTCCACTGGCACTCCATGCTGCATGGAAGAGCTAACAGGGAAAACAGATCAAACGACTCGGAGCCAGAGAATCAAATACCAGAGCAGTTTCCTAAAACAGCAGGATTTAGACCAGAGATGGAAGACATGAGCAGTGGTCTGTGTATGGTATGGACATTGAAACACAGACTGAAATCAAGACCGTTCATACAAATAAAAAGGGAATGAAGACATGGGGAACGTGAGGGAGAAAAGAGACAGGCAAAAAGGAAAACCAAGAAAGAAAGGGGAGGAAGGAAATATTGTCTGCTCTTTATATCCCCCCCTTCACTACCTCTCTACTGTTTGTCCAGATGCTTAAGGGTTTATTATGTGAAACCCAAGGCTTTTGGGTTAATGTGGACACCGGTTTCGTATTTTCACAGAGGCTACATCTGCGGTCTACGCTGTCAGCAGAATAGACTTCTGTATACAACTTTCTTTGGATTAAATACACAGCAATTGTGTTCAATATTCAGATTCATATATTCTAAGCTTGCACACAAAATTACAATAAATAGAGGTGACTGAGATCAAATATAACTGTGTTTTGTTTGGTGCTTTTATGGGATTTTCTTTGAATGTTTTTGTTTCCCTAGATTGCAAGTTTACAACAACTACAGTATGAGTCATGGAGGTGAATACAACATCTAGAAAGCTAAGTGCACTGTCCTGTGAAACCATATATCTCCAACATCTCAACTTGACATGAGCTAAGAAACACAGCTTTTTTAGCTTATCGTTTGAGCTTTTGAATGGTTTATTTAGCTTAAGAAGTGGAGACATAAAAGGAATACCTACAGGGCTTTAACACCAACATGCAATAAGTGAATCCAATGTGATTGAGTCATAGATGGGAGTTATACGTTAGGACACTGATAATGCTACAGTAGAAGAGATAAGCAAAAGAGAAAATTACTTTTAGACCTTTTGAAGTCATTTATATAATCCTATATAGCCATAACATGAGTGGTGCTTTCTATTTTGCTCTCTGCCCAGAACACACTATATCTTGTTATACAGTTGGTCTTAATTCTCTAGTCCACATTGAATCTTTTTTGCAATATATTGACTGTCATATACTGTTTTAATTTTAACACAACACGTTTACATTTATTAAATGTATTCCAAGTATTTCAGTCAAGCAGAGTTCTTAATCTTGTTTAGTTAAAGTTTAAGTTTTGTTCCTTTTTAAAATCTGAAAATAATTGTGGTTTGTATTAATTTAATCAAACTTTACAGCTGAAGTCAATTGAGACAGGGTTGGAGGCTAATGTTGTCCTGATGAACGATAATGTGTTCACTGTCTAATGAGCATCTGACAGACTGGAATGAGCGCTAACTACAACTGAGCGCATCTTCTAATGCAACAGAGGAAAAGCTAGTTTGCAGTAAGGTGTTAGCAGTTGTTGGGCATCAGATTTGGGTGATTTGTTAGCCAAAAACCGGTGTACAAAGCTTCATAGATTAAAATAAAAGTGTATCTGTTGCGTTGGCCTTGCCAATTTTTAGTGAAAGACATTTGAATACTTGTAGGGGCGGAGATCTACTATCCATTAAACACTCTTTTTTTTAGTATCTGCTTTGCCCGCTTGACTCTAGGAGTCCACCTTGGCAGACAAACAGAACCCTGCTGATACCTTCATTCATCATGAGTTTAATAAAGATATATTCTGAAGGAAAACATTTTCTCATGACCCTCGGATCACGCTCATCCTAGGCTGCATTACAGAAGCTTCTAAATTGGCACCACAGTGACTGTAGTTGGTCAAAGAGAATGGGCCCCCTGCCCACGGCTCACAATCAAATCTCATTACCAAGTATATAAAGGAAATGGTGCAGTGGGGGTAAAAAAGATGACCTAGGAGCCATTACACTTAATGAGATCCACTCACTGTGGACTACACATTCTTTACAGGTTCAGAGACTATCAAATAAGTACAGTTATACACATTGTCTGATTATTATTATTAATAGCTTTTACTTCTTTGTGTCCTAGAGTTCATACAGGGTCAGACTAAATGAAGGTGTCCTGACTTTGGAGCCATGCAGGTTAAAATGAAATAATCTAGCCATGGCATGGCATTCTTCCTATTTCCATGGTTACAAAGTGGACACACTGCAAACACAAGAGACGTTTTTTTCCTAACTGTTAACAGGTCTCACTCTATCATGGCACAACCTGCAATCTCCATTAAATGTGGTGGATGGAAACTAGGGCTCGGTTTTCATAGGTTAGACAAATGTGTGCAGCTTTAGAGCAAAGCGACCCAGCAAAGTGCCATGACAAAGTGCAGGTTAAAAAGGTAATAGCGCAGGACCACGGCCAACTACACAACAAATACACTCTCATTTATGTGTTGTGCTCTAGAAGGAATGCTCTACTTATGAAGACAGCTTGTTTTTATAGTTATTGTGAGGTGAACTACTGTGCATACTACTAATTATCTGCTAAGAGTAGCAGGGCTCTGTCTTCCTTCTACCTCACCAGTCTGTATCCGCTATCACATAAATTCAGCTAAAGTGGTGGAAGGAACAAAAGTAGGTGATGATGACACGTTGTTAAAAAAGAGAAAATGAGGCCAAAATAGCCTGTATTACCGGAAGAAGATATACAGTACATCTATGAAAGTGTTTTGTGATACGTGCTGAACTTACTGACCCTGTTCACATGAAACCCATTACCCTGCATGCTTATAATCGTCATTTTGACATTTCATATACGCCTATAGGTGAATCATATTAGATTAAGTTGGATGCAGTGCCTTAAGCATTACATTTCACATCAATGCAGATACTTCAAAGCACTCTCAGTATCTGAAATGCAAACTAAATGTAAGTAATCTTGCCAGAAACATATAACATAGTTTTGGCTCAGATGTAGATGTACCCACTCTTTGATTTTAAGTCACACTCCAAATAGTCCCTGCCTGGCTTGTATTTGCCTCATTCTTTAAGTCAGGTCAAAATACATTTACTTTGTATGAAGCTCTGAATCTGTCCTCCAGAGTATCCACCCTGTAAAACTATCCAGCTATAGCTGGCCGGGCTGGAACGGACAAAGACTTGGATTTCACATCCTATTACACACTTTAAATCCATCTGCGGGAGATCGAAACAGCAGGGAACAACATTAAAGTAAAGACCATAATACAGACCTTAAGGGTTTCTATAGATAGGATCCTCGAGATATGGTCCACATAATGAGCATACATGCATGTGCATGTGTCAGCATTTGCAAACCATAGCAAACATCATTACACACATATTTCTTTGAACTTTAACTGATTTAAAAGCTTGAAGTGATATTCTCTTTTTAAATAATTGAATACAGAATATGTTTCAATTGGCTCTCATTTTCTTTCGATAGTGTGAATGGGATTTGTCTGAGAATACTCTTACGCCATCATCCAAATGGTTCTCAAGATCATAAATCTCGTCTAGCGTATCCAACTTTATAGGCAGGCTATAGACTACAGCTGTGGGTCTTAAACATTGAAGCATAGCTACCAAACTCTAAAAATGAAATTATTAAAGGGGAAAGAACGTCTGTAGCTGGTAGCTTGCTGGAAGCTTCCATATTAACTGCTTACCAAGCTTTTTACTTGAAACGTGGATAAAGAAAAGTCACTCTTATAATGGGAACCAAAGATGGGGACAGAGAGGGAAAATATGTTGTGCAGGAGGAAAGGAGGAGACTTTCCATCTGCTCTGGGCTCTAACAAGAAGTCATGAGATCTCTGACATGAGACACAGCGCCCTGCAGACCTGCCTCTGCTTGTGTTTACTTGGCAATTGCATTTCCTTCCCTTGATCCTTGTCTGTCGTTAAGTGACCCTTGTTGTGTCATTGCTACTAAAGAATAGCCACACGGGCAATGAACCAGACAACTGTCTCACAAGGGAGAGTTTGTTTTGGTGCACCATGGAAACAAGGTTTTCTGTTTTGGACATCTTTTTTTTGTATCCCCTTCCTGTCCCCGTATGCGGTGGAACACCAAGGCTGGGCCACTGTGGTGGAAATAATTTGATCAGAGAGATATAGGGGAGGTGGGAGAAAGAATCAAAAAAGTTGTGCTGAGTGAGGTCAGTG